GCTCGCTCCCGCTGTTCATCGTTCAAGCAAAAGAATCTCCGGGGAGCATCCAAGAACGACACAGAAACGCTGCACAGCATGGCAAATGGGAAAAGGATGAGGACGGGTAAGAAGGGCTCCTTATCTTTCTCAGGACCAGCCAGGACAAATGTCTTCTCACAAAAGCATAACTTACTGGGTCAGGTTTTGAAAACAAGGGATCAATCTCAGATAGCAGCAATGAAAGCCTAAGGCAAGGAGCACACGGGGTATCTACTAATGCACGGGTCGTACCTTTATTGTTTCACCTCGTTCACTAACAGTTCAGTGGTGCAAGGTTACCATACACGGTTAGATATCGGCATTGCACACCTAAGGCTATACAGCAAATGGATCAGAATTAGTACAAATACATGAACTATATTTACATTTTGTATACTGAAGCTCCAAATATCAGATATATTTACAAAATAAAATCAGAAAATGAAAACCTGAAATTAATGTACAGTGTTGCTGATACACTCCTTCGCTGGGATGAAATCAGTTTGCAAGAGATTTGTTCAAGAAGGCCACTTATACAGCAAATACCTTGTATACAGAGAGATTAAACTGGGAAGGGGGCACCGCAATTACAAGAAAGGACATAGTTCAGTGCAACAGCGTGTCTAATGTCCAAATTCAAGAATCTTCATCAACTGCACATGAAGTATGAACAAGCAGAGTGGAAAATTAAGAACTGATCCTGGGAAGTGCTGATCATTCAAGACTCCCTCTGCTTCTAGTCCCTGGTTTCAAGGCAAGCAAGAGGTGGCTCAGTACCGCTCAGGATCAGGCCGCTGACTTGGCAACATGAAGAACTGATGACTTACGACCTCCATACCCTCAGTTTTCTGAATACACAGCTGATAAGTTAAAAACTGTTCCAAATAACATTGGACACAACCATCTCGTCAGAGTTGGACTAATTTTGATTTCAAATAGTTAGAACGCATAAATGGCCTTCTGAACAAAAAAAAGTCAATCCCGTTCTTGAACAGCTGATGTTTTTAAACAAGGAAGCACAAAATTAATACATTCCCGCTACATACAGTACAGTTCAGACCACATACTGGGGTTATTAACCACGACGGAGAGGTGCAACACACACGTTTAGAGACCCATTTCAAAGTACATTCAGCAAACCGTTCCAGAGCAGCATCAGTATCCTTCCCTTGAGCAGCAGGGTAACAGCTGCACCTTCAACAGAAACACTCGCCACAGTACAAACTAACACGAACTAAGGCTGTGTAGGAGTACCAGAACGATGCAGATGCGTAGGCAGTGTTAGTAGATTGTATAGTACCAACGGGTGTTATTCCAAAGCTAATCCTTTTTCTCATCTAATGTGCAATTAATTACAGATGTATAAATATACAATACATTACATAAAAGTAAATCCCTGTAAATTAGATAACAAGCAGCAAAAAGTAAAGTCTTTGCTTTGAAATACCTTGCTAATCAGTAATGAGGATTGTTAGACACTGACCAAAAAAAACCCTGTCTCAGTGGTCTGGAAATAATGTTCCCTTCCCTTCTTCATCCCAGAATATAGGAATCTTCTTTAGAAAGGTACTTAAAGTGCATTTCTAAAATACAGTATAGGAAGTTTAGCTTAGTTTCAAAATATCAAGGAAGCTCCAACACCAACGACATGGTTTTCAATGGACAAAAGAGATCATTTTCTCCTTCCTTTTAGTGAGGAACACAAAAACCCAAACCACAGCACAGTTTCACACGCA